ATATCTATAATATTTTCTTTTTAAAGAGAAAAAGTGATCTCTAGGAAATACAGCAAAATATTAAGATTTGATAAGGCTTGGTGATAGATTGCTTATTATCTTTTCTGTTTAAGAAATTTCATAATAAAAAGATAATATACTTTATAGCTTTTCTGACCCCCCGCCCTCCAGATATTTCAGAGTGCTTCAGGAGGCTACTGCTGAACCTAGATTAGTTAACTAAGTAACTTCCCTTTTCCTCTGTCTCCAAGGGTACCGAGATGCACAAATCGGATGGATTCAGATTGTAGAGGACCTCCATGAAAGAGTACCAGAAAAGGTGGATTTTTCCCCTTTTGGAAATACTCAGGGCCCAAGTCGAGTAGCTCAGTTCCTTGTGATCTATGCGCCAAGAAGGGGAATATTAGAAGTGTGGAGCACACAGCAGGGGCCTAGAGTCGGAGCTTTCAATGTGGGGAAGCACTGCAGGTAAGCTGGCATTTTTCTGGTTACAAAAAGAAATAATAGGAATGCTTTTATTAAAATGAAGCTTTTACTAGATTAGATTTTATTAGCTTTCCTGTTGTTTGAGAATTGTAATATTCTTTATTATGGTTTTCCCTGCAAGTGCCTGGTATATAATTAAGGATTAAGTATTTAATAACAGAAAAATTATTGAAAATGTCATAATGTGCTACTGAATTAAAGTTAGCTTGGTGCTACCATTTGTCTCTAACTTATGCTGTGAAGGCTCAAAAGGAAAGGTTCCTTCAGATTCCCCTGGTAATGATTAGCGAGGTGAATGCTTTGTTTGCCATTGAAACATAAATCTGATTGTGTTCATTTAATTTTATAAAACCTTTTAACAAGGTTAAAAGGACTCTGCCAGGTGAGTCTTGTTTTATTTATGTTTTTGGTATCAGTTTTTATTTGCCTTATTAATGCTCCTGAATTAATAATAATGTCAAGTTCTCTAGCTATAATAAAAGCACCTTTTGGCATTTCTCCTTTTCCTCATATTTTTACCATATTCGTATGTGATTTTCTTAGGCTACTGTATCCTGGATATAAAATAATGGGCTTAAATAACGTTACCAGTCAGAGTTGGCAGCCACAGACTTACCAGATCTGTCTTGTTGATCCCGTGTCTGGAAGTGTGAAAACAGTGAATGTTCCTTTCCACTTAGCACTGAGGTAAGATTTATTCAATGTCTGCTGATCGATGTTCCCCTGCTAACTTTTCCTAGTTCCTTGGTTTGTTGTGCTGTTTTGTAGTTATTGTTTTATTGTTGTTTCATTTTTCATCAGACTGATACCTTTAAAGTTAAATGGGAAGTATATGAAGGAAAAAAGAAAGTTGGAATGTATTAATATTAGAATTAGAAGAAAAACAATTTCATATTCTGTAAGAATTTGTTGTATTTATTGTTTTAGTGACAAGAAGAGTGAGCGAGCCAAGGACATGCACTTAGTGAAGAAACTAGCAGCCTTACTGAAAACAAAATCTCCCAATCTTGGTAGGTATCCTTGAATAAAAATAGTAAAGCACATTGCTCTGTCATTTTTTTAAATCAATAAAATATTCTGAATGGAACAATCAAAATACTTAAGTGCACTGATGAGCTATCTTAACTCCTTTTCAGAATGAGTGGGGTAGAAGTACTCCCATGTACCTTTTATTAGAATTGCCCTGTAAGGATGCAGTGTGCCATCTAGGGGATATTGAAACTCACAACAATAAAACAACAATGCGAGATAACCCAAAATCCTTTAGACTGACCAACAGTACAGATATGTTCATTTTCTTTAAGAATAATATTTCATTGTTAGAAAAATGAAAATTTTACTTTAATTTTCTTTTTATAGATTTGGTTGAAACAGAAATAAAGGAATTAATTCTTGATATTAAATACCCTGCAACCAAAAAACAAGTGAGTATGTATAATATATGAACTTTCCCGTAGTAGTTATAATACATCCCTCTTAAGAAAATCTTTATTTTCCTATTTCCCTCCAAACATGACGGGCTAAAGTCTTCTTTTCATGTTTTTATTATGTTCATCCCTTTTTATATTCCCATGTAGAAGTTCCTGTTGTCTCTATTTTAAAAAAATTAAATAATATTGCCATACACATGAGTTATTTTATACAAGTACTCCTATACTTGTCCATTCATAACATGTATTTGGATTAAAGAATGATAAGAAAATAAACACATAGGTGTGACAACTCACCTTAGCAAATAGAATCTCACCAGGAGCTCTAAAGAGCGCTGGTGTCCCTCCTCTGTCCCGTTGCCTTCTCCCATCACTAGGGTAACCACAACTGAGAATTTTGTGGTTCTCTCTTTTGCTTTTCTTTATAGTTAACATCACTCCTGTGTGGCTCCTTTGAAATCTATTGATGCATTTCTTGCCTTTTAAAGCTTTTCGTAAATGGATGTCTTCTTCTGTGACTTTAGTTTTTCCTTCAACAGTATGTTTCTGTGAGTCATTCATACTGACGTATGTACCTATGGTTCTAGCTGTAGTTGATTTCTTCACTATGGCATATGAATTCCACTCTTTCTTCATTCTCCTGCCAGTGAACATTAAGATTGTTTCCAGTTTTTTGCTATTGCAAACAGTGATGCTGTGCTCATCCTTGTAGTCGTTTCCTGGTGCACATAGGCAAGAGTTTCTCTTTAGTTTGCTGAAGAGTGGAATTGCTAGGGTATGAACTTCTTCAGCTGTACTGGTTGATGACAAATTGTTTCTCAAAATAGTTGACCTCATTTATACTTCCACTTATACTGTAGGAGTCCCTCTTGCTCCACAGCCTCGACATCCCGGAGTATTGTCAGACTTGTTACCTTTTGCCAGGCTTGTGGTTATAATATGGTAACTGTTGTTTCTTTTATTCCCACTCCTCCTATCCATACCCCTCATAATGCTGCCCAAGTCCTAACTTCATAAATTCTTACAAGCAAAACACTTCAGTTTTCATGGATAACTCTGAACTCCTAGTCTACTTTTAATTAGAACCAGATAGTTAATGACTACTTATTTTCTAATTATTTCATGTATATTAGCAATAGCTTCCCTACGTTTTCCTCATGAGCTCTTTTAAGCTCCATCAAGTAGGAACCTTACCAAATATTTCATTTTTAATGTTCATAGCATCTAAAATAATGTTACTGTGAGAATATACGAAAAAAACAGATCATAGTTTGTTTTCCTCTTCTCTTACACAGTCAGTCACTCAACACTTCTGTCGCTAGATCTGTGAGCTTTTTCCCTCACATCCCAACCAATTTCTTCAGCAGATTTCTTGTGACCCTCTCCTCAGGTTTGGTTGATTTGCTAAAGCAGCTCACAGAACCCAGGGAAACACTTTACTTACAGTTACCCATTTATTATAAAGGATATTACAAAGGATACAGATGAACAACCAGATGGAAGAGATACATAGGGCAGAGCATGTGGAAAGGGGTGTAGAGCGTCCGTGCCCTCTCCAGGCAAGCCACTCTCCAGGAACCTCCACGTGTTCAGCTATCCAGAAGCTCTTCCAAACCCTGTCCTTTGGGTATTTATGGAGGCTTCATTGTGCAGGCAGATTGTATCATTGGCCATCAGTGATCACCTTAATCTTCATCCCCTGTCTCCTCCCCTGAGGTCAAGGGGTGGGGCTAAAACTTCCAATCCTCCAATCATATGATTGGTTCTACTGGCAACCGGCCCCCATACTGAGGCTATCTAGGATCCCACCAAGAGTTGCTTCATTAGAACAAAAGATGCTGCTATAACCCAGGAAATTATAAAGATTCTTGGGAGCTCTGTGTTAGGAACTGGGGTCAAAGAGCCAATGTTAAAAGATTCTTCTTGCACCACTATCTACAAGGAAATTAGGAGCTCTGTCTCAGGAACTACAACAGAGACCAAACATTAGAACAAAAGATTCTACTAGTGCTCGTATCGTTCAGGAAATTACAGGGCTTTTAGGAGCTCCTTGCCAGGGACTGGGGGAATAGATCAAAATGAGTGTTTCTTATTATTTTATAGCTACATACATTGGAGAATTTAGTAAGTAGTGATTTCTGTTGCAGTCAATTTTTAAAACACTTTTTATTGTTTTATTGTAGAACAGGCACGTATCTGTGACTTTCAATCATGTTTTCCATTCCACTGGCAGTGCTAATTAGCTCTCCTTTTCCTCAGGGCAAAATCTCAGTTTTTTAAAGATGAGACTATGATGACAAGGTAGGTATCTAGCAAGGCAGCTTAAGGACTCTATTGTAGAATGGATCATAACCCAAATAATGCTTTTCGTTTTGATGCCATCTTTCTTCCTTCCTTATATCACAGAATACCAAAAGTGAGAAACCAGCATAGTGCAGACCGTCTTGTTTTTCGTGGTTGGTTGGTTTGTTTTGTTTTTACTACACTATTGAATCATGTATGAAGCTGTGATTTTTATAAAAAATACTGAAAAGCCCAATAGTGAAAGTTGTATATTGTTTTACGGCACTAGAGGAAGGGAAGACACCAGTTTAGGAGGTAAGTAAGCCAGGTGCTAGCCTTTGTAACTGTAGGCAGGGCGGAAGCAGATTACACTTGTCCTGGCTTCTTGCCTCTTACAGTCACTTTCCTTACATCCTCCAGGTAGTTGTTTCATCACAGGCCTGACCAATATCCTGAGCTACCCTCTAAGCCTATTTCTCCTCCACAGACACTCAGAGATTATTGTGTTATGATCTGATATTTGTCTCCTGCCACATTCTCAGCCTACTCTTTAAACTATTTAATCTGATTAATTACAGTCTAATTTAGTGTGCTAATGTGAAAGGATAATATAAACTTCACTGTGTCTAACTCATTGATGTTTCTGATGGTTGCTACGTTAGGCATGGAGAGATATTTTGGAACTGGTTATGAAGACTCTTACATATCTTTGGGGGTGGGGGATGTGGAGAGAGATAGGTAGTAGGGTAGAGTGGGTGCTGTATGCGTGTATCTAAGCATGGCCTGTAGATTCAGCCTGCCATGCTCAAGTGCAGTCATTAAACTATAACTGAGTTGTTGTCAGCTTTTATTATTGACATGATGATACCTCTGCTTTTCGTTTATGCCTAGATAGTATAGACTTATTCAGACTCTTCTTGTTGGTGAATAGCTTTGTGACTGTTTCTGTTTTTTCTTGGCCATTCTTTTAAACAACAGTTGCCTTCTAGTTTCTTTCTCCTCTGGACTTTTTGTCATTATACCATATTTGACATGACATGAAGTAGATAATGTGTTACTTATGATACAACTATAATTCTCACATAATTATACTGAAACTTCTTAAATAAGGAGTTTCCCTTTGAAATTTGGGGTAGTGGAACTACAGGCATAAATATAAAATTTAAAAAACAAAATCATTGCCTTATAGTTACTCAAATTGCTCAATATCTTTCTTTTAGGCTTTGGAAAGCATTTTGGCAAGTAAACGTTTACCATTTTCCTGTCTTAGAAACATCACTCAGACTTTAATGGACACTTTAAAAAATCAAGGTAATAAGGTTTGTACTGATTGGAGGTTACAGTCTCACTTCAAATTTTAAACTCTGATTATAGAAAGCTGTTAACTGCTTATGATACCATCATGTTGCTTTAATGTAGAAATAATATGTATAAGGAATGAACAATCTTATTTATTTCCTGTTTAATCAATGCAGTTGATCTTCAGCTGAGCTGTCTCTGAATATATTGACTCTCTTTCTTATTGGAAATTTTTCTTTTAATCCCTCTGCTGTGAGGAAAGATATCAGTATAGAATGTTGAGAAGTGGTTATTCTCATAGAGTTGTGAAACATTGTGAAAGCCATTGGAAAAAGGGGGGAATTAGTCAGTGGTATGCAAAAGACAACAAGATT